ACTTCGTTAAAAATGTTGAAATACAATACAGTACAAATTAACATTTTAAACTTCTCGAGGTAGATGATCTTTGATCCCCTTATAGTCAATTGACTCATATTGACTTTGTCTCGGTGGAGCTAAGATCCTCCGATTACTTTCGCCATCTATCGATGAAAACAGAGAATTCGAAAAAGTAAGAATTGTAATTAGAAATTTGACAAACGGACATTCAGATATGGACAGAAAAATGGACGGACAGACTATCACTAAAATTATTTATAATCTTAGTATTAGCAAATTATTATTTTGCTACGCTGTGCATTGCTTATAATTGAAATAAATAAGCGAGGAGGCCAAGGCTCGACTTGAGCTGTAGCGCCATTGAAAGAAGAAGAAGAAGAAATAAATAAGTTAAATAAATGATATATTTGGAATTAGATGGCTGTTAAAGAAAATCAGATTTTTAAGATATCATAAAACTTCTTGAAACGTTTGAATAACTTCTACGTATTAATAATTTGCGGAAAAGAAATCGCAGAGAAAGAAGCGGAGAACCCATATTCTCCAGATATCACAATTTATCATCGCGGTTAAACACGCTTCGCGGTCCCTTTCTCAACGGATTGACGGATTTACGATCGCGGGTATCCCGTAAAATCACGTGCTTTCGGGCCTCCGGGCGTGACCGGTGAGCCGCGGACTTTCGCATAATGTCGCCGGGAGCTTAAGACAATTCGATAAATAATGAGCCCAGCGACATGTTTATGCGCTCGCGTGCTTGCGTTCAATGAATCCTCGAGCGAACACGATCCGCAAAGTACAGCCATGCCGCGCCGAAGGGAATTATTCGAGGATTTATTCCGCGCGCTCCTCATCCCTCCCCTACGTGCGCTTTACTTCCGCACCTCCGCGATATCAGGTCTATTTGCAACGGCCAACGATAAAGTGCACACACGCGCTGCAATTAAAAATGAAATTTTTCTAAACTTTTCTTTCTCCGATACTCGAAATGTGATCGAATAAAAATTCTTCCCAAACTTTCTTTTATACCTGTTTGTTTCAATTTTTTTTTGTTTTTTCTCAGATTTAAAATGAATTCTAGATAACTCAAACTCCAAAAATGCATGATCGTACCAAAGAAATAAATATATATAAATGAAAAATGAAAAATAAATAAATATTTGATAAATATATATTAAATAAAAATATATTATGAATCTTGAAAAATTAAAAACAAGAGACCTGAAAATGCATGATTATATCAAAGGAATAAATATAAATGAAAAATAAAAAATAAATAAATATTTGATGAGTGTATATTAAATAAAAATACATTATGTATCTTGCAAAATTGAAGATAAAAGACCTGAAAAATGTACTCACTTTAAATCGTCATCACTAAAAAGTTACAAGTAAAAAAAAAGTGTAGTGTAATGACCAAAAAGATTTTAAAGAGAGAAAATGTTAAGTTTTTTACAATAAAATTAAAAACTTTGGATTTATTCTAAAATCGAGAACGTGACATTCAAATCAAAATATTAATCACCTAAAAATAAAAAAAAGATAATTCCCAATACTTTCTTTCTTTATAAAGAATAAATTTAAATTGAGGAAAAGGTGGAACGGTGAGCGTCCCGTCATGACGCAAAGGGTTAACAAGTGAGAGAAAATAGAAAACAAGATCATTCGAAAATGTAATATTATTATTTTAAAAGGGAAACATAAACGACACAAACATAAATATAAACCAAAACCATCACACGCTTACGTTTATATCGCTGAATATACAACATGTACCCATTTATCTATTCTTCATTCGAGTCTCGTGAACACACGAAAGACTGCGCAATCGTCCGTTCGAGCCGGCGGAGTTTCGAAACGCTGGATGGGAGAGCTAGATGCGCTGAACCGAGAAAACGACGTCGCGCCGCGGAATCTTTTGTTTGCGTTTGAATTATTATGCGACGAATTACGACAGAGAGACGGTCACGACGCGCGTAAAATATTTAGACTTAGCAATCAGAGCCCACCGGTCTCCCCCTCGCGTATTCGTCCGGCGCGGCGCGTGGAAATTCAAAATTACGTAATCCGGTACGAGGCGCGAAACAATGAAGACAATAGCGGACCCAGGAACGGCAAACAAATCTCTGCAAACCGAGGGGACTCGCGCGTACCGAGGCTCGATTCATCGAACATCTGTTCTCGAAATTTTGCCGGCGAAGTGAAGGAGATAAGTCAAAATCGGCAGATGCCCCGTAAACAGATCGCGTTTGATTAATACCGTCAATTGAATCGACAAGACAAAGATCTCGAAAACGAAAGAAAACAAATAAAACGAAAGAGATCGAAATAAAAGCCTCGATAAGATATATCGACGCGAAATTATTATAAAAAATAATTGTTTGATACTCTGAATTAATCAGCTGATGATATCTTTGACACTTAATTAAAGCTAGTATAATGTAATGAAATATTTATATATAAATTGAATTTTATATATAAACCTTGCATGATAATCCATAAGATTAGTCTAAGTAACATTAAGATTTATTATTATTAGAACGATCATATGTATAGTAATAATTCACCCATTATTGTCATTTGAAAACAATTTTTATCTTCATTTTAAATCATTCAATTCAATCTGATTTCTTTCATAATTTTAAGATCACAAATGGAAAATATATTATTATACATGTGTATTTTAAAAATAGTAACTATTTTTTATTTACCAGATTTGTTTACTAAGGATAAGCAAATGTATAGCATTTTACAGATACATGAAGTAAAAGTATTGATATGTTTTTTAGAATACGAAAAAAGAATTTCCAATTGTCAAATATTTTAAAGTTCCCTCTGATCTCATTTTGACACTAATTGCTTTTCTGATATTTGCATTACGTTTAGTTATTAGAGACTGAATGCGGTTTAGCAAGTATGCAAATTGCATTTCTGTCGGCCGAAGTTGCTAAAAGAATTCTTTGAACATCGATTTTTTATTTCTATTTCAATATACACGGAAGCATCTAATGAATGGCATTGTAATATCCATCCTGTTTGATCGCCTTCTACGGTTTTGTTCTTTTAATTTTCGTAAATATTAATAATTTGACGTGCTAAAATTACACTTATAATCGCACTTTCGGCAAGTAATTTGTCACGGTCGCGACTCAATTCAAGTATATCGAGCGAACAATTCATGTTTTCCAACAAGAAATCTGCACTCGACTCGCAAAATAATCGATATATAAGGAAACTCACTATTGCTTAATAAGACGCGACCGACAGTCTCGATAAGACTCCATGCGACTTCTCGCGCCCACGCGTCAAGAATTGAGTCTCATCTCGAGCCTAAAAATTTCCGTCTCGTCTTTGGCGATCTCTGAGCGTCATCGACGATCATAAATCTCGTGGAACTCAACGCCAATCATGCTCCTCCAGATAGGTTCTCCGCTGAAACGAAGCGAATGAGCAACATCTTGGTCGCTATCGTCCTCGCACGACAATAGGACCTCGTCGAAGGCTTTGTCGATGATCGATAAGCCACCCAAGTACACGCTTGTCCCTTTCCTTTCTCTCTCTCTCTCTCTCTCTCT